CTGGCGGAAACTAAAGCATCTTTGATATGTGCTCACTGCGAATCGAGATCACGGTCAATAGTTGAGCCAAGCAAGGTTGACAGTGAGGCTTGGTACCTGGTTAAAACCGCAGCGTTTTGTAGATTCGCGACGTCCGGTCGGGAGTGAGCGCGCTTAGGTGATCCTCCGAAACGCATGCAAACCTTGGCACGAACCAATGCGTGATCGGAGTCTAGAAAAGTTGACCAGTACGATCGGCAGTCCGTTACGCTTCCGCGCCATCTGTAGCTGATTGCTATGTGGTCAAGCTGGGAGCACTCTTGCGTTTGTGAGGGCGAGCGCCAGGTAGCAGTGTGTCTCCTCGAGTGCCGAAAACTAGTGCTCGAAAGAAACAAGCGATGATCAGAGCAAAGAGCAAGCAATCTGTCTCCATTGTCTGATCGACTGCCACCGAGACCAAAACTACCCCCAATGTGGTGCTCGCTTGGTGGAAGGCGGCCAACCCGTGCGTTAAAGTCCCCGGCAAGAATGACTTTGTCAGTCCTTTTGGAGGAACGCAGAAGTTCATGTAATTGTTGGTAAAAGCTATCTTTAACTGCATCCGGGCTGCAGTCTGTAGCGGCGTAGGCGGAGACGACCAACAATGCACGCTTAACGTCTCGATGCCTGCTTACGTTACATGAACCTCTTAGTCTGACTGCACATAGCCGACTGTTGACTGGGATCCAGTCAAGCAGAGCTGATTCAGCCCTGGCACTCAGTACAACCCCAACACCAGTTTGACCAGTGGCGGCAGATTCTGGGTCTCCGGAAAGCCGCAAGTAATATTTGGCGTCAGAGTTTACCGGAGAGGCCATTCTGATGACGGCGCTAGAGTCTTGTAATCTGGTCTCTGAAAGACAACAGATGTCTACCGATAGCGTTTCAGAAGTCCGGGCCAGACATGCTTGTCGTCCGATCTGCATCAAAGTTCGAACATTAAATGTTGTGAGGATGAATGGAGAACCAGGTCGAAGAAAAACTGGACCTTCGGTGGAGTGAGAGGCGGTTGCGATCGCAGGACGTTGAAAACCGGGAGTTTGGCTGTTACTTCCATCAGTTGCGAGACGTGGGTCGTTTGTGACGGTGACGGTAGAAGACATAAGAGTACATGTAGGTGAAGGACGGGAGGTGGGTTGATCTGTGAGTGGAGGTTGAGCGGTTGAGTTAGGACAGAAGAGAGGCATAGCAGTAGCAGTAGTAAGCGGTGTAGTCCATGATTCGTCAGTGGGCGTGATACTACCCGGTTGCCCAGGCCGAAATAGAGGGTTGTCTTAGGGGGCCCTACCCTGAGCCTTTGATCAAAGATCCAACCTACAAGGCAGCAGGGCGATGTGAGGGCGTCGCAACCCGTTGGGGGCCGGTGACCAAATAGATGGTTCATACGCCTTTCGGTCCGTGAAGGACCAGGGGCCCAACATACCCTTAAGGTACAATGCCTCTGAGGGAGGGGCAAGGGGCAGTGACTTTAGTGGCGAGTCACATCCGCCACGTCGCAGTGTTGTTAAACGGACATATGTGGCTAATTATAGGAAGAACGCTTGCCAGGTGGAAACCCACCACCTCCTGGAACACTGCCGCCGAACCATTTGCTGGAACGGGAAGAACCCGAACCACCCAGCCGGCACCACGAGGAGGTTGTTCGGCAAGCCAGCCCATCTGATTGTATAGCATATATCAAGTATGGACACAAGGAAATTCAAAGTCTCGGCAAAATATGCATGCACATACGTACGTTTATACATTCGTACGGGGATCGCAGCGATATCTGATGTCCAGCGTTAGACAATGACATGACACTGGCTTCCAATAAGACATGTGCGAGTGATATTTGTAGCGTATCGTCTACTTCCTACTGGTATGCATCGCGCCTTACTCGTTCACAAAATGCTTTCGACAATGCAGATAGGGTTTCAGAATTCCAAAAACTAGGACGTCTGCAAAGTGAAGTACCGAAATACTGAGTTATAGAAAGGCACCAAAAAATCCACAAGGGATTGCTGCACCAGAAATAATTGATATGCAACTTATTGAGCGGACTGCGAGCCACCGGTAAGTGGACGAGTGTTTTGCTTACCTTATTGGGATGTCGTGTCAGAGTGCACTTTAAACGCTGCTATAAATGGCCAGTTCTGCATTCGGGGGAACACTGGCGCCCAGGGCAAATAATTCGCGTGGTCGCGTCGCATAACCGGCTTCGCTGACGCTTTGTAGTACGACCGCGCGCGAGCTTGAGAAATGGATTCACACCTACATACGGATGAATGGCTTGCAACTATGATTTCTCGCGTATCTCTTTTGGCTTTTGGGGAGCCAGGGGTTAACGATTTTGATAAGGAAATAGCAGGCTTGACCGCCATGTGTCGAGGTTGTGGTCCTTGATCGTGCCTAGCACGTAAAACCAGCGCGGGCGAATGGACGCGGATTTACCGCGCGGCATGATGATCAGTGCGAACTGTCAGAGCACGTAGGGAATGCACAACTTATGTTTACCACCATCTCAAGGGAAATATTTCCGGCAAGATCACTGATATATTAACAACAGTTGCGTAGCCACTGGTTATGCCGCCCGGGGCAGTCGTTCGTTCTTCTCATCCTTGCCAGTACTTAGTTGCGTAAACCAGCACATCTGCGAACAGCCGTTCAATAGGGCGTGTCATAAAACAACAACCACCGAAAAATTTTAGAGTTCATTTGTAAGTGTTAGCATTTGTTACTTGTTACAATGCTGCTGCACAAAATTTGCAAACACACGTGGCGTGAAAACTGCCAATAATCCCAACGAAAATTCGGTCCATCGACTAGGTCGCTTCTTTATGGTGACAGTGGCCAAGTCCGTAAGCATTTTCAGGTTTATAGCTGACCGAAGGTTGTTCTATGCAAGCTTCTGTATTGAGAAGGAGCGCTCACAGATGACAATGATGATAGCCTGGGGTAAGAAAACTTCGCAATACAATACCGATTTGCGGTGCGGATTCACCGCGGGGATATTTAAGTATGCAGCTCAAAAGCTCTAAATGTCCATTGAATTTTTTTCACAACATACTGTAATTTCTTCCTTTCGCGAAGAATGACATCTTTTTATATCTCCCTCAACATCACTAAACCGACAAGCATACCTATGATCGAGCCAAATACACGGCGGAATCGACGCTCCATGAGTTTCTCCAATTCAGAGTGGTTTTTAGGATGCATTATCATGTTGCACATTCACTGATTCACCGGCTGTCATTCCGTATCCTGTGATGACTCTTCCATATGATAACCTTCGCTGTTCAATTGTGAGTGAGCTGGCACGCTGATCTCATTCTCCCAAACAATCATTCATCTCATGCTACCCCGATCCGATCGTCCGGCGTTTACGCACCTACTGTGCCTTCTGTAAGGACATGTGCCAGCATGCCACTGGCGCTGAAAAATGTTATCGTGCTTGACTTCATATGTTGACCAGGTATATGGTATGTTATCACACATTTCTCCGTAAGTGCACTGTAAATCCCTCCGTAGTACACGTACGACGACGTATGTTCCAGTTGTCTCTCCGAAAACCCAGCTTAGATCATGCTTGGTCTTAATGTTTAATCTTATCAAAAGCGTCTAATGCTGCGTTCGTGGGTTTGCATTTTCGCGTCTTGCCTGTTAACATGTCGGTCAAAGGCTGAAAAAGTTTAGAGCAATCAGGTATAAAGCGGCCGTAATAATCCACCATACCGAGGAAACAGCGCAGGTTTTTGTAGGACTGCGTCATCGGATACTCTGTGATTGCCTTTGTTTTCTCCGGGAGTGGACTGATGCTGTTGCGATGGAATCGAGGAACGAGAAAATTAACACTGGACTGGCCAAAAACACATTTGTCCACGTTGATCGTGACACCATAATGACCAAAACACTCAAGGGTTTGACGAAGATGTAAGAGATGTTCTTCGTGCTTAGAGCTGGCCACTGTTTTCATTTTCTTGTCTTTTATATTGCGGCACAATAGCTGAGGTGTTTTTCACCTCCAGCTAACGTGTAATGATGATGAGAGCTTGCCACGAGAATGTCATCGATATAAGCAAAAACAAGATCTAGTTCTCGGAGAATTTGGTGGATGAATCGTTGAAAGGTTTGTGCGGCGTTTCATAATCCAAAAGGCATACGGACAAATTCAAAAAACTAAAGGGAGTGGTCATAACTGTTTTGGGAATGTCATCAGTAGCAACAGGGATTTGGTAATATGCCCGGACCAAGTCAATCTTAGGGAAAATTGCTTTACCGTGCAAGCCAATAGGAAAGTCGTGAATATGTGGTACCGGATGCCTGTCTGGAACAGTGACATTAAGTGTGCGGTAGTCACCACAAGGTCGCCAATCTCCACAAGACTTCTTGGGAACCATGTGCAAAGGTGAAGACCATGGACTATTAGAAGACCGGACAATACCAAGATGGAGTATGTGCTCAAACTCGGATTTGACATTAACGAGTTTGTTGGGTGGTGGTCGGCGGGGTCGAGACGTGACCGGTGGTCCATGAGCAACGATGTGGTACATGATCTCGTGTTTAGGGTCGGAAAAATTATTTGCCGACAACACGGAAACCGTTGGAGTAGGTCAGTAAGCGCGGTGTTAGTGTGTAGAGTCATGCGAAGTCCGATCGAGCCGACCGAAGTGGCTCTGCCCAGAGTAATGAGGGAGGTGATACTATCACGAAGTTCTCTGTTGCGTAAACTGACAATACGACCAAATTTGGTGAGCAAGTCGCTACCGATGATGCGGCGTTGAACATCCGCGATCAAGAAGACGAGAACATGTTCGTCGAATGCCAAGATTGAGAGTCAGCAGTTTCTGATAGTAAGTCTGGATTTTTGTGTTATTGGCCTCCTGGAGGGTAGGTCCTGTGGGAAGCACGTAGTGTTTTTCCATTCCATGAGGCAGAACACTGACCTCGGCTCCATTGTCAACCAAAAAGGAAATGTTGGTTGTGGAATCACGGACAAAAAGCAGGCGACTAAAAGATCGGCCAACCGAAGTCGTCGCCATTACTGGCTGGCTTGTGCGTTTCCATGTTGAGCCTTGGGGGAGGTTTTCGGGTGCGTGCAACCAGGACGATAATTTTTAGCGGCATCGCCAAAACGTCGATGTATAGTGTTCGTAACGTCTCTTCTCGAAGTGGATCTAAAACTTTGACTACTGGGGCGACGTCTTCTCTTAACGGAGAGCTCGAGTATGGACAGTCTGACAAATTGATTCAATGGGATCTGTTGACGAAGAAGTCTCAGGTGGAGTGTCAACCGCGTGACAGACTGGGCGCTGAAAGGAACATTCATGAACTTTGTCAGCCGTTTCTGCCAGTTTGTCAAGTGATAAATCGTCGGCGGATACAGTTATGATCGCCGTAGTGTTGGATGGGACGCATTTGAACCATAACTGACGTTAGACGTTGTCGTCGACTTAAAAGGAACCCACCAGCAAGAGCATATAACGCAGTTCAACTTCGGAAAGAAGTTGGTGAAGTCTGACCTTATCGGAAGCTGTGAGACGTTTCAAAACGGCAATTTTAAGCTTATCGTATGGTGTTTCGGTAGGAACAGAGTCGAGCAAGTCTACCCCATTGGCCGCTGTGTGTGCGAAGATGTGCAACGACGAAGGAGCACGTAGAACATAGTGAAGTAATCCTACAGCAACGAAAAAGCTTCCAACTGTGAAAACCAGACATGGGCATTGTTTACGTCAAAAGCGGGCAAGGAAAAACCAACAAAATTTTCAGAAGTCAGTGTGGGGAGTGGTACTAAACGACATTTCGCAGTCAAAAATGAGTTCCAGTAGGTAAAAAGAAAAACAGGGATCACTAATTATGTAGTAGAGTGAAAACTAGTCCTAGACTACCGCACTGGAAGTAAAGAATCAATGTCAGATAAAAGGTAGGAATACGCTGACCTTTAGGTGTGACCGGCTAAACTAACTCCACAGGTATTTCACACTCCTTGACGGAATAGTTGATAGGTGACATTCCACCGTGTTGGTTCCGCGGTGTTCAGACGTCCCAGGCACACAGACCAAACAGGCTCTACAGTTCGCTGTTGGAGGTCGAGAAAAGTGTGTATCGGCAAAAGCGGTCAGTTAAAACAACTGTACAGTACCCATTGAAGAACGAAGTGAGATGAAGTGCAACAATGAAACATCTATGAACCCTACAGTGCATCTGGAGCACCGCATCCATTGTAGTTTACTTAACATCCGCCGCTTTTGATCAAGAAGCCTAGTGCATAAGATGGTCATCTGTATACTGCTATTTGCTGATGACTGTGCGTTGTTTGCACATATCGCGAAAGAACTACAATGCATGACGACTACATTGGCTTCCTCATTAACCAGGTTCGGACTTAGCGTAAACGCAGGCAAGATTATATGCCTCTTTCAACTGGCACCGGGAGTGAAGCCCATGTTCAGGACAGAAATACGGATTGCAGACGAAGTGCTAAATAGCATCTCGGCATTCTTCTACCTCTGGAGCACCTCAATCGCTCTGCGGATCACTGACAAACTGCACGCTCATGTGGGGAAGACGAGTGCGGTTTTTATGAAACTGAAACGTCGGGTGTGTAAAAACCTCATCTCACTGTTTGAACCTAGGTCATGGTACGCCGGTCATCATCATCATCAACAACAGCAGTAAATCAGCCATTTGGATTGATGCTTCACTACCATACAATCATAATGGCATATGAAATAAAGAATAATAAGAGGGAGAGAAAAGGGACTTATCTGAAAACCTTGATGCTCTAAGCAAACATTCAGGGTCAAGGCGCCTAAACCTTATGTAGACAACATACCGTCACAGCTGGCCATCGTGCAAAGATAACGCGACATCAACGAGACAGCTTCCTTGGGACTTACACTGCCCCACGTCATAATCAGCCTGCAGATAAATCAGCACCAAACACACTCTAAACAGTCAATCCAATTAGAAAGCAGCAGACGCGCCACTGATGTCGACTGCGAGCCATGTCCTGTAAAGTCTCGAGCCAAGCACAAGGCGAGTCACGTGGACTCCATCCCGGACGACGAGACGGACGAATGGCACCCAGTTTGGTCGTCAGTGACTTCTGCTCCCGCTGTCAAGTCAACTTCTGTCCACCTCGAGCTATGCGCCACCCTACACCTGGCTGACATAACAAGGCCCTCTGGTTACCGGGCAACGACGTCGCGTATTTGGTGCAGGAAGAGCGAGTGAACCGCTCAGCATCATTATATCACGCATCAGGCTCCGATGGTTGGGTCACGTGTTGCGCATGCCAGCACACCGACTTCCGCGACGTACATTGTTTGCGCGTTTTGGGTGCGGTTGGAAGAGGAGGGGAGGCCAAGTGATGACTTGGTCGAGAGAAATGAAAACCCTTACTTCGAAGTTGGCGTCGGTTGGTGCATCCCGACTGCCTGGCTGGGGTCCTAAGGACGGTGAACATGTTTGGTTGGACACACTTGCTGATATGGCTCGGAGCCGGCAACAGTGGCGTTTGTGTTGTGATTTCCTTTGTCCATCCCCCTCCTGTTTAGTATCCCCCTCCAATCAAGATCTCACCTGTTAGGCATAATGCGATTCTCTTTTACGGCAGCCAGCTGTTAGCTCTCCGGAACGATGTCCATCCGTTACTGGGGACTCAGCGGACGTGCCACTGTGTTCCCTTTTCTTTTGTATTGCGTCACAATAGCTGAGGTGTTTTCCACCTTCAGCTAACGTGTAATAATGATGATGATGATGGTGACCGGGCAAACGTAGTACGTGCCTAAGCCAACGGAACTCATTCAGTGCTATCAGTTTTTCTAGGGAGTTAGCATGATTATCACTACCTTGTACTCGCCTACACACATCATCGTTGCGGACGCGCGGGTGCCATCCGACACCAGCAATACTTCTCAGACAACGATGATCGAAGACTTGAAGGCGTCTCATATTTTCAGATTGAACGGTCCAAGTCACTACCATAGGGCAGAACGGCCCTTACTGTGACCTTGTATACAGGGTCTTTCAGACGAAGGGAAACTCCCTTCTGTCACCAACGATGCTGCATGTTTAAGAAGGCACCTCTGGCCTTTGCAGTACGTTAGCTGGCGTCAGTTTCTATGTTCTGCTCGTTGCTATTGCAGGTGCCAAGATAAGTGTATCGATCAACCACCTCGAGTCCCTCGTTAGCAAGGGTCAAGGGGTCATACAGTGGCTGGTGCTGCTGCAGCAACACTTTACATTTGAAGGTGCGAAGCGCATACCAAATAGTAGGACCAATCTAGAGAGGCTATTCAGGGTTGATTGTGCCGCAGAAACATCGTCGAAAAACAAAGCGATATCGTTCGCATAATGAAGATCAACTAATCTTTCACCAGGCAGCACTTCAACGCCTACATCGTGTGATTCCGCAATGGAACACTCCATGATAGCATCCACGACGAAATTGAACAAAAATGGAGAAATCGCGCAACCCTGAAGAACACCACTTGTGGTCGGAAAGCTATCCGGTACGCAATTACCGACGCTTCGCTTCCGCACAACCACCACCGGTCACACATAGCCATCACAATGAGGCTGGACCTTACCATGTTGCGATGGTTTGTGTGCATCCAGGATCCATTGAGTTCTGCTGAATGGTGCTTTTTGCACCTTCAGAACCATTTATACCAGGTTGGTCAATGGTTAGAGGCCAAATAAACTCAGTCCTCTGGCCCTCCAGGTTGGCGGTTGTAATGAGGGTGGCTCCTAATTCCTTAAAACGGACCCCCTGATAGTCCAATGCCAAACCCTCTGCCTTGCGGTCAGGTTTTTGAACCAAAGGCTTTGGTTGAGAACTCTAATAGTTCTCCTGTCTAGGCCTGGGCAAGCTGACAGTATCCTACTCACGCATTAATATGACTCTTTTCTCAAACCATTTCCTTATGCTTTAGCCACTGCAGAGGATAATCAACGGTGCCCTATCTGCTGCATCGAGCAGGGTGGATAGGGGTTTGGATGCTACTGCTGAAGCCTTTGCGTCTTCTTATTCACCCTCTTACGCCTTTTCACCCTTATCGTCCCGTCCCAACTTCACTTTTATCTCCCCATTTTCAACCCCCAATTCTTGACCCTCCTTCACCATGCTTTGATAGGCGTTTCTCTTCTAATTGCAACTCACACAAACGCGGAGCATCACTATTGCCCTACCGACAAGTCCAAGTCTAACCAAGCCGTCTAGCCCAGTTCATCGGCTTTTATTTGGAGCCCCTGAACTTCCCTCAGGTTGGCATGTCTCAGCGTACGCACATTATTACCGATCGGTCAACAAGCAGCACTTGCCTAAACATTAGAGACCCTTTCGGAAACCCGCTTACAAGATCCAAGCTCTGTTCTCACTCTGCGATCCATTTTGGATTACACTAGCAATGCTTTCTCATTGCGCCTATTCGGTGACGATGCAGCTTCGAGTACCGGCTAAGCCGGTGTTGGTATTGCCCTGAGTCCCCGGGCTGAAGCTGCTCTGGTTGATTGGATCCGAATCAGTAGCCGGATGTGTGCGGTCCGATTGGCTGGCTCGTTCAAAGATTCGAAGTCGTGCGGGACAGGTATCTATTCGTCATCACTGCCTATGCACCGACAAACGGTAGCGATGACTCGGTAAAAGACGACTTCTATCGTCAACTGAACGAGCTCCTTCACCACAGAAAAAGCACGGACACTGTAGTGCTGGCCGGGGATCTGAACGCTCAAGTTGGAAAATTATCCACAGATGAGATGCATCTGGGCGGCCAACATGGTATAGGCTCCCGTAATGATAACGGTGAGCGGTTACTTTATTTGTGTGAGGATGCTCACTTATTTCTTGCGAGCACTAATTTCAGACACAGCACCCGCCGGAGAGTGACTTGGTGCCCACCAGCCTCGAACGAGCTATGGACGCAAATCGATCACATTGCGATAAGTTACCGATGGAGAGGCTACGTCCAGAACTATCGCTCGATTTGAAGCACAAGTGTTGACACCGATCGTGCACTTGTATGTACTGACATTCGGATGCGTTTTGGCGGACGCCCACGACGACGCTGTGAGCTCATTGACACCGGCAGACTGGCGAAGCCAGCTGTTCTGAATGCCTATCAAAGTACGCTGTCATGCGAGTTGGATAAACGCTCACTGGATGCAATTGAAGCTCACTGGTCTCATATTCACCAGACCTTACTAGCAGCAGGCAAATCCTCATGTGGTGTGTCTAATCGCCAACATGGACATTGGACCTCTTCACGGTCTCTGGAACTTATCGATGCTCGCCGACATATTCCGGCTGGAAACGAACACAGTGAAACTCGCAAAGAGCTCCGGGCAAAACTCCGTGCTAGCCTGAAGAGAGACCGCGAATCCTGGTGGTCTAATCGTGCAACAGAGATGAAGATGGCCGCTGCCCTTGGTAACCATCGTAAGTTATTCCGTCTGATACGGTAACCGGGCAGCAGGAGACCTGGTGTTAGTGAAACAATTTGTGATGAGAGTGGACAGCCTATCCACAACTTATCAAAACGCTTAGAGCGTTGGACTGAGCACTTTGAAATGCAATTTAATCGGTCGGAATGGTTAGATTTCTTGACGGCCACTGTTCGCCATGCTCCGTGGGCTGTCCCTTTGGATCCACCCTCTCGCTCAGAAGTCGAACGTGAGATCGGACTGTTGAAGTTAAATAAAGCCGCGGGACCAGATGATCTTCCTCCAGCCCTCTTCAAATTCGGGGGACCTGCTCTTATGGATGATTTACACGAGTTACTAGTGAAACTGTGGGAGCAGGAAAC